TGATTTGAGAATTGTGGAATTTTGGACACCTCCTTTTAAGGAGGTAGAGTCTAGTTTTAAAGGTAATGTACTTTTATTCAAATGTATCCTCACTCTAGGCTCTAGCTAACAGTATAAGGTAAATAGTGTGTGCTATAAGGATGTGTTAGGGTTTGCATCACTAGTTATTTTGATTGTTTTAAATAAATAAACTTTATTATTAGTTGTGAAAATTGCATTCTCATGATTTTGAAATTAGTTTGCAAAATGAAATTGCATGTGAAAATACTTATCTATGTGGGTTGTGAAATGAGTTGCACTGGTTTTTTGTGTAGGTTAGAATATCTATTTGTTATTAAAATGTTAGATTTCATATGTTAGCTCTATACTCTTTAGGTAAGAGTTTTGATAGAGCACAGGAGAAGGCACTAAAGAGTCAAAAGATAGTTCATTTGTCTTGTATTGCACATATTCATTTTACTTCATTTATTCCTATGACTTAGGATTGCATATTTAATTTATTATTTTGTTGGTTTTGGAACATTTTAAAAATTTGGTATATTGGACCTTCTAAAATTATTTTAAAAGAGTTTTACTGAATTGTAGGGTGAGCCAAATTATATTTATTAAAGTATTTTTCCATATAGTTGATTTTGGAATTAGTTGTGGAAATGGTATGTAGGCTTGAAAGTTTGGATTGTTTATTGAGATGTCATTGTTTGTAAACTTGATGGGTTTATTTTTAAAAAGGTATTTATTTTTTATAAAATTGAGAGTGTTACAATTTGATCTTTGTAATTTTAACTCAGTTGTAAGTCAATTCTTGAATTTTAACTTGCTATAACTCAATCCTTTTCGACTCAATTGTAACTCAGTTTTTAAACTTTAATTCGATGTAACTCAGTCCCTATAGTTTTAACTATTTAAAATATTAGTCCATATATTTAAAAAATAAAATTATAAAGTTTAAAATTATTTTAAATTTTAATCTCTATAAAAAATTAAAACTTTTAGTAATTTAAAATATTAGTCTCTAAATGTCAATATAATTTTATTTTTAAAAATTTTATTTTTAAAATATAAGGACCAATATTTTAAATGATTAAAACTGTAAAGACTGCGTTGCATGGTGTCAAAGTTCAAGTATTGACTCAATAATACCAGATTTAGCCTCACTTTCTTAAGGTAGTAGAGGTTGAGGGTTCGAGTCTAGAGAGGTTCTAAAAGACCTCTGCGAGGGTGCTGTTACAACAGTTTGTCAACATTTAGGGATTGAATTACAACTGAAGCAAAATTACAAGGGCTAAATAATTAATTTTTTTCTTTCTTTATCCATCAATCAATTATTATTTACTTAATTATTACATATCTATAAATAAATAAAATAATATATTATAATATGAAAAAGCTAACAAGATCATTCAAAGATCATAATCTCAAATCAGATACATAAAAACATAAGATAGACTTGTGAGATAGATTGAGGTGTTCATACTATTTGCAAATCAAAGGTACTTTTCTCTTTTATTTTTTGATTCTTTTCATCAGATTATTATGGAGATTCAGATAAACAACGTCAAAAAGCAAGAAACAAAGTGAAAATTGGGAGCATCTCATGCAAGACATTGCAGAATCAATTTTGGGAAGATTGGGCCTCAAGGACTTCTTAAAATTCGGTCTAGTTTGTTCATATTGGCAAGCAATGCTCGGCAACGCCATCATAAACCAACAACGTCATCCTATTCTTCAGATTCCATTACTCGTGCTATGCCCTAACACTGTCAAAAAAGGAAAATCAGATTCCTTGCTTCTTTGAGGTAAATGCTGAAAGAGTCCTTCGCCCTAGCCGCCTATATCCCAAATGGCAAACCGTTCTTGGTACAATCAATGGTTGGTTGATGATGACTGAAGCTATAACTAATAAGGATTCACTAGACTGACTCTTCTTCTTCTTCAACCAAGTGTCAAGTGCTAGGGTTATCTTATCATTAAAAACAAGTGATCATAGTCACATTCCACGTATTACAAAAATAGTGGCTTCCTCTGCACCCTATAATAATTGCCATAACAACTCAATCTTTATTGTAGGTCTGGCTCGTTCTAGCATTATTTTTTGTAAGATGACAAATAAGTCATGGAGTTTGATAAGAGACGGAAGTGGTAGAAACTTCTTAGATGTAGTCATCATTGGCAACTTATTATACGTTTCAGCTGATAAATCAGTATCAGTAAATTAAATGGTATAGAAATTTATAATCTTCTTGACCTACTGGACAAGTCTGATATGAATAATGCTCCTAGAGCTCAAAAATTTGTTGCGCTTGACCCCAAACGAAAAATCAATAACTACTTTATTCCTAGATTTAGGAACAACCAGTATTATGTTGATGGTGGAGAAGTTATTCGTTTCGCCCATGATGTAGTTTTTGGAGAAGTAATGCTGCTTGTGAAGCGATTTGATATTACTGGTTCTGTATTGGACCCTCCTACTCTATCTAATGTAAAAGGATTGAGAGTGTCGAAGTTGGATAGAACTAGAAATGATGGAGTCCAATGGGTGGAGGTCGAAGACTTGGGTGATCATTTGGTGTTTTTTGATAGATTCAATTGTAGGTTAATCCCAATTAATGGTTTCCGGGGAAATTTTAGAAGAGATGGGAATGTTTTGCTCGTCAGACAAGAGTTTACATTCTTTTAATGTATCTGAATATTCAATCTTACTCAACTGGGCCACATGCTGTTGCTTCGTGCCAAATCTTAGTTAACTTATAATTCTATTCTTTATTTAGAAAGATTTGTGATTTGATAGACATTAATGAAAGATTTTATACATTTGATCTCATAATATGTATTTTGATTACTTTTATATATTTACATGTATTTCCATGTCCACAAAAGACACAAGTATAGTAATTACAGGGCGGTCACATATGATTGAGGAGAAGCAAATGCAATCTTACATTGGAGAAAATTGCATGGAATTAGTGCGCATTTTTTTATATTTTGGTCACCCCTAGCTAGTTCTACCCAAATTCATTCGACTTTTTTAATCCATAATATTAACTGAAAGCATATGCATGTAGTACCAACTAAACCAGATTCTAATAATTTTTATAAAAGAATTTATTTATTTACCTTTTATGATTTTATAGTTTCTTTTGGACTAGGAAAAATTCAGTAAGGACCTCTTAGCCCAATTTAATTTCAGTCAAAGTCACCCCTAAAATTCTGAAATTTCATTGTACACGTGAGGGATTAAAATGAAATTAAAGAATTGATTGAAATGACTTTATTGTCCCCAATGATATGAACAATTAATATATGAAAAATGAATAAGTGACATATGAAAAATAAACAAGTGATACATGGAAAATGAACAACTGACGTAGGTAGAATTTACAACTTTCATAATAGCATAATACCACTATGAATATAAACAAATAAAATTGGGCATATAAACAACTAGTATATGAAAAATGAATATTTAATGTATGAAAAATGAACAAGTAGAATGAGGGTTGTAAATTCATAATGGTATTAAGCTATTAACAAGAGTTGTGAATTTCACTTACGTCATTTATTCATGTTCCTTACAAGAATTATTCATGTGTCTAATTTCACCGAAAATAATAAAGTTATTTTAGTTGGTTCTTTAATTTCATTTTAGTTTCCCATATGTGCGGTGAAATTTTAAAATTTTAAGGGTTTTGATTGAAATTAAATTGGGTGAAGGGTCCTCACTAAAATTTTTCTTTTGGACTATTATGTAAATTTATTGACCTTTTCCATGTATAAATAATGACATAGTTTTTTTAGGTAATGTTCATGAAATTGTTTTAATTAAATAATTACTGATTCTCTATATTTTGTATAAAATATAAATATTTTTATGAGGAAATTACCTTGAGAAATACTGTGATTTTTATCAAAGCATGTCATCAATCAACTCTTTAATAACAAAGATTAATTTAGATTTGCTATCAAATCCAAAAAAGTAATACTTATCATCCTAATGATTCTCTATATTTTGCATAAAATATAAATATTTTTATGAGGAAATTACCTTGAGAAATACTGGAAATTTTATCAAAGCATCAATCAACTCTTCAATGACAAAAGATTAATTTAGATTTGCTATCAAATCCAAAAAAGCAATACTCATCATTCTAATGATTGAGGTTTGTTTAGCTTGTCTAAATCTATAGTTAATTTGTTTTCTTCTTTTGATATGAAAAGATTGATGACCGACGTTTTCAAGTTTTAGACACATGATTTTTCTTCCCTTGACTTGGTAAGAATGATTGATGATAAGCTTGATGATAAGTTTTGTACAAAGAATGATTAACGACCGACATGTGTGTGTATCATTGACATGCATGCCAATGTTGAATTTGAATTTTTGAAAGAAATGGTAACGTTTTAGGGAGAAAAAACTACTTGAAATTAGAAGACATGTTTATCCCTTAGTTTAATTTTGAAAAACCATAATTATTGATTCTTATAGTATTAACATGTTTTGATACATGTCTTTATAGTCTGTTTTTTTGTTGTTGCTCAAATCCCTTTAATTTATCCTGTCTATAACGTTAGTTCGTTTATTTTTTTTAATATGCTTAGAAAGATGATAAAATGATAGCAACACTGTTAAATATGCTGACATGTGATTAATGCCATTAATTTGTGTTGAGGTGAAATTATAATTCAACAAATTAACAACATTGTCCACCACATTCAATTTCATGCTTCATATGAAATCTGAATTAACTAGAGGATCCAAATCCCATTTTATGTTGATAATAATTAATAAATAATGATACTGAGTTTGGTTTATATGTGTCTCTGATCATGTCTACATGTGAGACATGATTTTTGAGCGCAGAGCTATGTTCAGGCAGATGCGTTACCAACGCATTGGTTTGTTTATACTGCAGAACATAATAACAAATGAATAACTGACAAAAGAATTTATAATTTTTATGTTTGTCCCCTATACAGTATAAAATATAAGGCTTGCAATAACATAAATTTAAGGTATAAAATTTTATTTCATATTGTGATGGATAATCAAGCACATGTTCCTTGAATGCACAGAATGAAGCTTCATTACAAAAAACCCCCAACATCAAAAATTGAAAAAAAAAAAAATCTTCCCAATTTAAATTGAAAAAAAAAAAAACAAAAGAACCTTAATATGAAATCTGAATGCAGAACGAACGTTACAGCTTCTGGCATTCACAAAAGAGAATCAGCCCCGTACAAAGTAACGATTGCCTGCGTGACCTTTTCTTCAGAGGATATGCCATATAAGTTACATTACAAACAAATCCCTGCACATGACAGCTTATTGTTATGTCTGGCAAGCAGTAAAATAGCTACAATCTTCAATATGATATTGATGACCATTTCTTATGAAGAAACTGTCTTCACACCGGTAGTTGAGTAGCCCAAAGAACGGGTAACAAGGGCTTCTAAGTAATCAGAACTCTTCAGTTGCTTGTCATAAACAAATTTTCACAACATCAGTCTACAGAGGTATCTCAACTTTTTGTCCCAAAGAAAAGAAGCTTACGAAACCCTTTTGCAGCTTTAGAAGAATCCTCACCACTGTTCCATTTCTTCCGGGAATGGACCGGTTCTGACATCAAGCCACCAGTAGGTGGAGGGGTGGAAATTTCTATCCCAGATATTTTAGTTGAGGCAGGAGAATTTTCATGTGATTCATGATAGACCTTGGAATCCACAGAAGACACAGTTATAGCATTGTCCAGTGATGCTGCTTTAGGATTTATGATCACATCAGCAGCATTTTCTGGTTTATCTTCTCTAGGAGCTGAAGATATCTTGTCCAGTACTTCAACTTTTGACAGATTTGTTCCAAATGTGCGACCTTGATTTGGCATAGAGTTTTCAAGCATGGAATCTCTTTCTGAAATCAAATGTCCTGCATTGTTCTCTGTAGAAGTCCTGGGTATCTCTGTAATGTCTTTTAATCCAACATTGAAATCATTTGGTTCAACAGATTGGGTAGCACTATGTTTTGATGGCAACACTAATTCACCTTCAATGTCATGTGGAGTCTGAGCATTAGTGCCAGAAGGAAGGACTCCATTTTGGTGCTTCTTGTCATCTTTTTTATTCAAAGATTTGACTTCTTTGGGACCCAGTTTTTTCTTTTCTGCACTAGCAGTCTTTTTTGGAGGAAGCCCATTTGCCTTCGAGGGAGGTTTCTTTGTTGTACCAGATTTTGCTCGAGGCAGTGAAGCCTTCTGACTTACTCGAGCAGCAGCAAGGCGCTCAATAGTTGAATTCCTGAGGACTGGTTTGTGCAATTTCTTCATTTCCTCCGTAGATGGATGATTAGGCTTCTCATTCTTTACTGAAGTTAAGGAAGTCTTATTTCCTGTTCCCGTCTTAGAACTTCTTTCGGCAATTCTTTTCTGGCGCTGAATCATTAGCTCCTCCCTTCTCTTTCTATTTTCTTCTTCCTATGAATGGAAGAGGGCATAGAAGTGAACAAAATCAGAAAGGTGCAAGGTGCTCTAATCCAACAATGAAATAAATCTGAGTGATTTAGAACATTTGAAAGGAAAATGTATTCCACATGTATCTGGTGTAATATAAAAGTGATTTAATGCTGAACAATGGAGGCAACAAAGAAGCCCCTTCACAGACACGGATAACGATGATTAGCACTATTGGTTAGTGAAGTTACATCCGGCAGTTTGATGCAATGAGATAAGTATGCCCCCTTAAAAGAGGTGGCAAAATCCAAAGCAATCTAGAAGAGGACACACTGCCCGCAACTCTTAAAATCCATGGTCAAACTTCACAATTAACAAAATGAGAACTTTGTTAGTTATATGCCACTTAAATAAATAAATTAAAAAAAATGAACACCTTGGTTTAGATCCTCACATGAAAAGGGTAGCAATTATAGACCACTTAGTTAAAGCTTCGGGCCAATAAAGAATTTTGCTATCCTCCACAACAAACTAGCAGACGGTGACCAGCACTATTGTTGGTTATGGATATGATAGAAGCACCGAAACATCCCAATTGATAATAACATGTTTAAAGTATTCATGTTTCACTAAATGTTTCAGGGAAATTAATAGAACCGAACACTAGTAAGTTACCTTTTCATATTTGCTCTTCACTGTTGTGGTTCTGCTTCCCGGGGATGCTTTGCTTCTTGATGTGATATCAGATCTGCTCTTCCCAAGAGATCCATTTAGGGCTTTAGACTTGATCTCTTTACTCAAAACTTTCCCAGTTCGAACTCCAGAAGTTTTGGTATCTGTGCCCTTAGTGTTCGACAGCTGCTTTTCATCTGCTTCAACATTCAAAGACTTGCTATTTTGTTCTTTTGACGAAATGTCATTTTCATAGTCCATCTCTAAAGTCCAAGGTCCCACTCTCTGCTCCACAGCTGTTTCACGATCAAGCACCATAAAAAGATCATTTGGCTCATGGGCATTTACTTTTTCATTCCTATTTTGCAAACTTTCTTGCCTGCTGTTTGCCAATTCCGTAGAAATAATGTCTGAATCCAAGCTCATTTGTGCTGCTGATAGAGAACTGAACTGGTTTTCTGATGAACGAGATTGGATCATGAAAGAGTCATCGGCCACTACACCTTTGTTGTTGTTTCCAGCATGAGAACCGCCAGTAGCTGATGATGAAATGGAATCCCCTTTGAAAATACTAAAATCTTTGTTTTTATCTTCATTTGCTGGTTTACCTGACTGGCTGACAATGAACCAGTCCTCTTCTTTATGGCATTTAGTGAGGGAAGACACTGTGCCAAAGCTAGGTAGAACAGAAGTATAGTTCCCTGATTCTTCATTTCTCTGTGAAAACAGAAACTCCTCATCTGTGCTATTTATTTTCTTCACAATAGGAAATCCATCATTGCCTTCCTTATAGTATTCAATACGAGTTTGATTCCCACAGTCAAATTTTCCACCCGCCACAATAAAGGAATCATTTGAAACTGCTTTCGTCACTTTGTCAGATTTTAATTGGAATGCAGATGACCCTTCATGCTCAAAATTTTTATTCCCAGCATATTCGTCCTCAAACTGTAAAGGATGCTTTTGTGCACCAGATGTAGGCTCCTCTTCTCTCAAAAGAAGACTCTGGAAAGCACCCCAGTTGTCATTGTCTTTAGTTACTGCTCTAGTTTCCTGACCAGTAGCACTACCGTTTTGCTTGCCAGGGAGTTTTGTCCTATCTCTTTTCTTGTGATGACGGGAGGTTGACTTGTGTCTTCTCTCCAACGAATCTAGAGCTTCCTCTACTTGATGCTTTAGGGAATCCCCATTGATGTATTCTTCATTATTTGACAAACTCCCCTCTGAGACACTACCCTTTTCACCATCTCCATTAGAGGTTATATAATTAATATTGCGGATAACAACCTTCCTTGAGGACTTCTTTCCAAGTTTCTTTTTTCCATGTTTAGCTCGTTTCTCTGAATCACTCCCATAACTAGAGTTGTCAGAGGCAGTTGATTCATATTCTTCAGAATTGTCCTGTGCTTGGGAATGTTTCTTCTTTTTACTAGATTCTTTACGATTCCGATGATCATCCAGCTCTTGGTCAATGACAGAATGGGAATCTTCCATGTTTGGAGGCCAATGCACATTTCCTGGAAAATATGAGGAGGGAACCTGCATACCAGGGTACAGATAGCCTGGATAAGGTGGCATTTGTTGAAAGACAGGACCCTGAAAATGGTGATACGGGGGAAGATGATTTGGCCATGGCACTGGCCTTAGAGTCCTTCCATCTGTTAAGTGTGTTTGAGCTGACGTTGGCAAGCCATTGTCTGCATATTTTCAAAGCAATAAATAATTATCAAAATGCTCCTATGGTATCTGTACAAGATTTATGTTTGATCTTTTCAAAAACACTTTCAAAAAATTAGGAACACATTCATGAACTCCAACTGGTATTTTCACATGTCTGATTTAGGGTTAGCCATGCATAAAATCACTATTTATAGGGAATGCATGTATAATTTCTCAGCATTCCCAAAATCCAAGAATTCTTTTCTTGTTTATGAATGAAGAAAAGAGACTGAAATAAGGGAGATTACCATTAAGATAATATATTTTTACAAACCCAATTAGGAGTATAGAAAAGATACCTTGGCTATGAACCCAGTTTGGAAGGAGTACAGAAAAGATACCTTGATTAATGTCCAGACTTGCATGGCTTGGGGTTGACTCAGAGACTGATGCATCAACTAAGCCATTTTGCTTCCCACCAGGATCATTAGCTTCACCAGCTAGTATAATTCCTGATGTTCTCAAGTATGGCAATTCTGGATGTGAATGTGCCTGCATTGCAGCTATCTCATCTATCCAGAGCCTATCTTCATTCTTCTGCTTGCACAGTTCTAGGAAATTAATGCATGCTTCCCTAAACAAAGCAGAAATTAATATTACACAGCAAAAGTTGGAAAGCATTTTCATGCATAAAGTGAAGGGCTTCAGAACGTGGTAAAGACAGAGGAAAAAAAATTCTGAATCCTTCAGTCCATGACTCTGGACCAAGCAATCTGAGTATATTCCGCTCTTGATTCAAAATACCAAAAAGAACAAGAAAGAACCGATAATATCAACAAACTTTGAGCATAGATTTGTGCAATTCTGAATTAGATTCAAAGATGAACTTAACATTGAATATCATTCAAAAGTACTTTCTATTATTTAGACGGTAATTATTAAGAGCTTCTATAAAGCAAATAAAACCTAACAACATCCCCCTTTTGTGTGTATTAAAATTACATTTATTGTTTACTGCTATCTTTCCTTGCCAAGTTAAACTCATGACAACAAATAATGCCTGCTGATAAATTTGCCAGATTTTTATTGCAACTTTTTTTTCTAATAACTCCATAACAGGTGCACAAGGCTTGATTTCATTACATAAAACAAGACTTGTTCACTAAGCAGTTGAAAAATCTGGACTTTCCACCCAAAAGGGAAGGAGACAATATGTTGAGCTCCTGAAGAGGTATCATCCAGGCTATGTCATGCCAAATCAAATTGAGTACTCTCTATTTATGCATTCATGCATTCGGAGAGGTAATGCTAGGGAGAATATAGCAGAGTATGAGATCCATACATCATAATTACGCTCATTTAATATTCTCTCTGACACCCCCCCCCCCCGGGCAAAAAAAAATGCATCCTCTACATTCACTTCAGTTTTGTGAATGTAAAGGAAATGGACTGCAAAAGTAAGCTAAATGTCCAAAGAACATATCAGTTATGGAACAAAACTAAGTTAATAGGATACCCAAGAAGTTACGAGATTATGTGACAAAAATAACAAATCAAAATTTGAAACATGTAAGAAAAAAGAAATTAAATGTAGTAACACTTTAATGAGGTCTAAAATTTCTTCAGTCATATTTTCTAGTAAATCCATATATTACAGTTTCAGCTCCAGGTGAACAGTTTTGATTGATCGTAGTTATTAACTCATATTTTAGCGAACCTTAAACGAGATGCTCCAAAAGTGTCAGCAAAGTATATGAGATCATCTAAGGAGTCCAAGTCAAATCCTGCAACTAAAGCACGAGCATATGCCATTGCTTGCTCTTTGCGAAGCATTGCTTTACGATTATCCAAAACACGTTGAAGGCGAACCCTGATTATTAACCAGAGAGAAAAATGTTTTTCAGGACAATTAGATTTATTTTAATGAACAAAAAAAGTTTTGCAAGAAACCACAAACTTCAACTACTACCTCTACCTGGAATTTTCTTCACATTCAACTTGATTGGTTCCATTAAGTTCATCTTTCAGCTAAAATGCACCAGGCGGCATAGGGTCAATGCATAGCCAAATTTACCAAGGTAACCTCAGCAAGATTCTCATATGCATACCTTGGAGATAGTATTTGACCTTTTGGAGTTCCAATCTGCATGCGAGACATTACCCATTAATTTCAGTTCAGGAAATGAATCATTTTGATATAATGCATCAAACAAGAAAAGTTTGAACGTGAAGTTCTCCGTCATTATTTGATTTAATTTCATGGATACAATGTTAATATTTGAGAGTGGAGATTCAGCATAAACAACTTGTCTTTATGAATGAGTAGACGAGCAGTTGCATCTAGGAAGTGGATTGAAAATTAAAAACTAAACTTTAAGGAAACTGATCAAATCTGGAAAATACAGCTGCAATCTCGGATATCCAATACCTTCTGCCTCAGCTCCCACGCTGCTGTTCTCACTTGATTGAATAGAACCTTCAATCTGCTCAATCTCTTTCTCTATTGTCACAAGCCTTTCTAATACTTCTGGCGTGCTTACGAATCTCACAAACCTGTTGAAACAGATAAATAAGCTCGTGCATCTTATCTTCTAAGTTACAAAAAGCTCAGCAGCATTTGCATTGTCAGTTAAATTTTTAACAGTATATATAACTATACAACATAGCATTCAGAGTCAAAAATTGTGTGAAAATCGTTGATGAGCCCCAAAGTTTGGATTTCTCAACATCTTAGATACTAATGATCTAATTATCAACACTCAATGTAAGTACAAACAACAAAACTACGCAAAAAGTTGAGGGATAAAGAATTACCTCTGGAGGGTGGCTTTGGTGAACCATGGAGCGTGAGCACCTGGAGGGCGAAGAACAATAGAATACCCACCTTTCGAAATCTGATCCTTTGCGGTCTTGAGATGAGCAAGAAACGGTTCTAAGAGCCCTGAAGCTACGCTCTCACTCACACCTCCAGCAACAACAACGAGGTCACATCTTCAACACAGAAATGACAACGATTCAGGGACAAAAAATCACAAAGTAGAAACAAAATAACCAAATTAGCAGCAAACTTTCCTAGTGTGTATGAAAATGTGAAGTTGCAGAACCTGGTGCGAGTTGGGGTGAGCTGAAAAAGCGCGTGATCGATACGAGTACGGGGGTCCATATCCAAGGGAGAATGACAATCAATTCGAAATCTCAGTCCAGTCGGAGTTTGATTAGGACCCTTTATGCCAGTCCCTGGGTTTGTGAGATGCTTGCTTCACATGGAATGAAAGAGAAGATGAAGAAGAAGCACATGGGGGGAGGGTGAGTGAGAGAGTGTGGGAATGGCAGGGGAATTTGTGGAGTTTCAAATGTGGGTCCAACAGAACCTGTTGTCTCCTTCGGTTCAGAGAAGAAATGTTTGTGTAGAAAGAGCATGTAGAGATACAAGGTGGTATAGCGAGTGGGTGAGAGGTCCATTTCATGTTCTCTGCTAGCTTATCGTCCAAGAGAGAAATGTTGAGAGAGAACTTTGTTCTGCTTTTGCCTTGTCGGTGTCACACCGACGAATTGAATTGAATTGAATTGAAGAGCGTGATGGTGGGGTGAGACTGAGAGGTGGCGGGAGGAATAATAACAGTAGTTGGTATCAGTATCAGTGCCAACTACAGCACGAAAGAAAAAAATGCCACCCCTTCCCCCTCACGCAAACATTAATTCCATTTCTAGTTTATACCATGGCTGGAAAAAAAAAAAAAAAAGAGTACAGTGAATTTCTTCTTCATTTGAGTTATTTGTTTTGTCCCACAGCTGTTACAAACTAGATTGAATATTTTGAATATTTTTATATATTTTGTTACGTGAATCAACTAATTTCACAATATATGACAGTTTTTAGAAATTATATTTGATCCAAAATATAGAATATTGCATATTTTTTATATTTGTTTCCTCTGTTTCTTTTTTTAAAAAAATAATATATTAAACTTTCAGTTGTTATTATTAAATCATTTATATAAAATATTTAATGAGAATGTAATTAAAAATATGTAAAAATATTTTAAAAGATTAAACATTTCACCTAACTTTTTTGGTCAGATGGGGTATTTTTTTAAAATTTTATCCATCATTAAAATTAATGATCGTAATAAAGTTTTGTATAGAAATTAAAAATATGCTAATAATTTATTGCAATTAAAGAGGAGTAGAGTTGAAAAAAATTAATTACCATATCATACTATATCTTATATTTAAGATTGAGCAGTGCTTCAAAATGTTGTCATATAATTAGCAAAAGTTTAAATTACAATATCAATGCTTTATTGTTTAGTCCATTCGTCCTGGTTTATAAAATGCTTTTAAATAAAATTATACATATTGATAAAGTTTTTTAAATACATTTTATAATTTTATTTTTTAAAATAAAAATATAAACTTTTAAAAATACCTATAATTTAATACTTAATCTGTGAAAGAATACCAAAAAAAATATAATGAAAATGGTGGTACTAAAAAAATATCATTGATAGAATTTAATTTTTATAAAAATATTTTATATTTTAAAATGTCATATCTCTTTCAAAAATGTTTTTATAAATTAAGATAGAGGGAATAGTTTATGAGTGATAATATAATTGTACTTTAGACTATGGAGCCTACCTGTAATATGCGGTCGAAGCAAACACTAACATAGTTTGAAACACGACAAAAAATAAAATATGATCGATATTACCAAAATAAGAATCCTATGATAGTGTTCGTAGATGGAGTGTTGCTATCTAATCTAATTTTATTTATGAATGGGGTGGGTTTTTAAGAACTTCAAAAAGCAAGCGGAAAGTAAAATGGGACCCTGTGGCTGCAAGTGCGTTGTTTTTTTAAAAGGAGAATTTCATTCAAAAATTGCAGGAGCAATTGATTTATTTATTTTCAAATGACTTTTAAAGAATTTTAAAATATCAGTTTAATTTTATGAAACTAAACTAAAAGTAAGTTAAATCAAGATACCTTCAGTTCAAATATTAAAAAAAGAAGATCACTAGCTACCGTTAATGAAGCATTGATGATTGAAGCTTCACTAACGACAACAGCCATTAGACCTCCATCGTCAGAGCTCCAACCATAGGCTAGACCTCCGTTGTCGGTAGCTGGAGAATTATTGATAATTAATTTCTCGAAAAGTGGTCAAGGTGGGTGTAGAATTTAAAATTCGTTTACCAAAAAATTTTGAACCACCAAGTCACTCAATCCATTCAATCATATAATGCATAAAATTATATATATAATAAACATTGTTTCCAAACCATTTGATTATTACATTACTTGTTAATCCCGTAAATTTACTAGTTAATACCTTAAAATGACTTGTTAATTACTTAACCTTTCTTGTTAACCCCAAGACTCCTGCAATGGAAATAAATTACTTGTTAATCATGCAACTATACTTGTTAATACCTTAGTAGAACTTGTCAATTACTTAACTATTCTTGTTAAGTTCATGATTCCCACAACAAAGCTACATTATTTGTTAATCACGTAACTATCGTTGTTAATACTTTAATAGGACTTGTCAATTATTTGACTTTGCTTGTCAAATCCTCAACTCATTCAACTAAACTGCATTACTTGTTAATCATGTAACTTTATTTATTAATTACGCAACAATATTTGTTAGTTGCTTAGATTGACTTGTTAATATCATAAGAAGACTTGTTTAACTGTTGTTTCAAAAAAGCAATCAAGTTATTTGTTAATTGTAGAGTTTTACTTGTTAATTTCTCAACAATGCTTGTTAATTATCTATTATCATTTGTTAAATAAATATATGATTTACATAAAAAATTAAGTTTGTCAGATCACGAAAGTGATGATAGTTGGGTCTCTCTTATTAGTATTAAGCATACTTTTTAAAATATATTAGGCTTTAATTGTATAAATTTTTTCAAACTTCTAACTTTAATTGTATAACATTTTTGAAACCTCTAGTCTAATTAGTATTTATCAAACTAGAGGTTTGAAAAATTAAATTAAAGCTTTAGTGTGATGAATGCTGATCAAACTGGAGGTCCAGTGGCTATCATTGCCGGCGAAACTTCAGACACCAGCGACAGTGGCCGGTAGTTTTCTTTTGTTTTTTTTTAAATTTGAAATGAAGTTATTTTGATTTTGTCACTTTTAACTTATTTTCAATTTAGTTCCATAAGATTGAATTAATATTTTAAAATTTTTTAGGAGCCACTTGAAAATAAGTTACTTCTACTATCTTTAAATAAAATTCTCCCCCTTTTAAATTGGTCTGTTCATAAGAAGAAAAAAATTAAGTTTTATTTTTGTATAAATTAACTGATTTTTTGTAAATACGAAAATTGAGGTCCACTATCGCTTTTAATATTTTATTTTCCTGACCTATCATTGGAGCTTGATAGCCGAGAGGGTTAGTTAATTTTGGTCCTTTACTAGTGTCCTAAAATATGTGAGGTTAATTGACCAGAACAAACAAGGTATTTAGTGCCCTCTATTGTTTTATCTAGTGACTATAATGGTTTATAAATATCCTTTTATCTTAAATTAAAAAATAAATAGGATGGATCATGGTCATCAATCATGAAGACAAATTGAGGCTAAGAGAAAGAATGTTAGGCTCTCGGCACTTAAAAAAGAGGGCACTCTTAATGGGGATAGATGGTCGTCATTTTCTTGTTTGAGGAATATTTGTCTGATATAAAATAATTATTGTTATTATGATTTATTATAAAAGTCACTCAACTCCATAATGATTTATATAAAATATCCACAAAATTCTTCTTTTTGTCTGCGATTAATAAATAAATAAATAAAAGATGTGCCTGCGATTATATAAAAATTAATGATTACTGTATCGGGAAAAAAAAAATGATTGCAGAGGATAAACTATCACCTTGTTCACATAGGAGGCGGTCTGTGATACTTACTCCTCCAGGTTTTATCTTTTTGTTATAAAATTGCTATTTTATAAATACACAATTGCTAATTAATTTCAGGTCTCTGGTTAAAGTAAATCATATTTTGTGGGTAAGGATGCATTCGTGCGGCTGTATGTGGCAGTTGGATCATTGACATCAAAACAATTTAATTAGTGAATCAAGAAGAAAAAACTTGCAATCATGCCTTCACTAATAAACAATGGCTTTTCAGCTTAATTAATTAGCGTTTTTGTCTGTTGGCCAAAACTATGATTAAAGTATATGTCTGCTCATGCGTAACTTTCCAACATGAGAATCAAACGCTGGTGAGATTGCTTCACCGTATCCATGGAAGTTGGCCCTAACTATTGCCTTTTTATTTGATAATCTTTTTTTGTTCTTTAATTTTCTCTCATATTTTTCCTTAACTAATTAATTGATTTTCATTCCAACAACCCATTTGAAATTTAGTTGGGTATAACTGATTATAAAAAAAATTAATTAATATAATTAATTTTTATTATAATTAATTATGTTATGACATGATAGTGTTTGGATGATATTTTTTTTGAATTGATTTTGATAAAATTAAAAATGTTTGGAAGATTTTAATCAACATCAATTTTTGATTTGTACATTACGCATGAGTTTTATGTTAGTTATTGATGAAATTGCATATTAAATTTATTTCGATTGATTTTAAAAAATATATAATAATGATACATCTAATATTTATAAAATTATTTAAAAACACACATAATTGATTAATAATATAAATTTAAATTAAATTAAATTATGATATTAGTGTTTTAATCTATACAAAAGAAAAGGGGAGGGTCCCCAAAAAGAAGAGGAGCATCAAATCATCTCCCACCTTGCCCTCAGTCAAACGCCTTGGCTCCCATCATCCCTCCCACCCTTCCTCTTCGTCTCCATCTCCTTCCTCTTCTTCTTCTTCTTCTTCTTCCTCTTCCTCTCTCAGGGCACTCTCTGTGACTTTTCCAAACCCTTCTGCCGCATCATCTCCCTTCCTCTCTCTAACTGCTCCTCCTACAATGCTCTCTCCTACACCACTCCTAATTCCCTCTCCACCCTTTAAGTCCCTCCAGCCAGCTCTTTAATTGCCCCGTCACTTCCATTCGCTTTCCTCCTGAACTTTTTGCCTCTCTTCACTCCTTCACTTGTGTCAGCAGCCTCCACAATCCACAATGTCGCCGGTGCTTGGCTCTCTTGCCTAATTAAGGACCTTACAATCTCACTGTCTCTAACTCTCCGATGTCCAGGTCAAGGATTCATGTCCTTGTGTTTAGAGGGTTCAATCACAAGCCACACAATGACATGTCACAGTGGTATATTTGATATGTTCAAAATTCCGAAACAAGTGATAAAAGTTCCAACACATATAATTGATATTGAGGAACAAGGAAGATGAGCTTCAGTCAAAACGTCATTTGGAGCAAAATAATCAATCATGTGGAAAATGGACCGTTTGGTATTTTTTACTAAAACTTAATTTCCGTACAGATGACTGATTTTCAACCCAAATCCAAACAGGCAGTAAATTTATTTATCACTTGCTTAAGTAATGAGAGTTTCTATCATTTACATCATCTTTGGTTGGTAGTCCATTTTCACTATCACAACCCAACATCTTCTCTTCAAGTATGAGCCCATGCACACAATAATGTATGGCTCAAGTGTAAGAACTTGTTATGTTGTCAAAATGTTTGGGGACTTGAGTCAATGTGGTCGGTATAAGAATGATATTGATTAAATTTAAATTTAATAATTAATAAAAAAAAAAGAAGCACTCATAACTTCAAGTTTAAATTTTTTGAGTGAAAATGTAATGCCTTTCCACGTTCTCGCATGCCTTTGGTTGTCTGATAGTAACTCCCTCTTCCTAACACTGCGTGCGTGCGTGCGTGTGTGACGAGAAAATAATTTCAGGTAAGTTTCTAAAATATTCATAATATGGTAATTAACCATCGGATTAATTACTTGCTTCACGTTTTTATTGTGGCATGCATCTTCTACATTGAAATTAACCTGTAGTGATGCCGTGAAGGCAAAAACATAATCAAGTAACATCAATAATCATATAAAATGAAAATAGCACCATCTTCCATTAATACAATAAGTAATCATTACGTGACAGTGATTGTAGATGAAGTATCAACATCATAACTAGACGATTCGCGAAAAGTCCTGTCATGCACTAAAGTACGAAGACCTAAGTATGGTTATATTAAAAATTGAGGTTTTAAAAACCGAACCGATTATTAAACCGGATGGGACATTGATTTATGGTTTATTGATCGAACCGTGATCTAACCGAGATCAAACCGGTTGATATTAAATTAATATATTTTTAATTTATATATTATAATTAAATAAAAAATACATTTAAATATGCATTTTTTTCAAAAATATATTATAGATGCTTGGTAATATAATTTATTATTGATAAATATATAATTAATATTAATTATAAGTGAAGCTTTTCATTTAAATATCAATAAAGATGTATTTTAATTTTAATTTTAATTTATTTTTTTTATTTTTTTAAATTTTGTCCGATTTTTTCATGAAAACCGATCTGATTTTTGTCCGGTTTTATCGGTTTTTGACCAGTTCCCTACTAACCAATTTTTAAGAGTCAACTGAACCGGATCAAGAGCCAGTTCCCTGTTCAACCGGTTGAACCGGCCGGTTTGGTTTGATTTTTAAAACCTTGTTAAAAATTAATTTTTTTAATTTAAAAAAAATACAGAAACTTTGACTCAAATTAAACTAAGGATGGAAAATTATGTTTTCCTAAAAATATCTTTTTACATGTTATATGCATGTACACACACATATTACAGGACTTGGTGCAGTGTCCTTAATTATGTGATATTAGCTGGAAATGTTATGACGCATCTTCACAATGATGAAGATGGTGGAACCCCCCTGTCTCACAGCTGAGAATTATGAAAAAGATGCTATCCATGTGTATGTGTGTGTGTGTGTATAATTGCTGCGTCTGATGGAACATATTTGCTATAATTAATTAAGCAATGACATGAAGTTTTAACCTCCCCTAAAACACAAGCAAACCCCCACCTGCAACACAATCTCTCACAGTATTTAACTCTAATCCTTATCTATTTGTCTCTCTCTGTTTATCTCATTATCTTGGAAAAACATCTTCAAATTATCACGAGTCAATTTTGGTTGGGCCAGATGTGACTTCTCTCCCAAGATATTTTTCCTTTATCCTGATCGAACTTCTGAATATCCATGGATGAATTAATGGATGTGATTAAACAAAAAGTTTGTTGAATTGAAACTTGTAATGGCCTTCTGTTTAAATCTTTCAGTTACTCCACACATATAGGGGTGGCATGAGTAGGGAGTGACCACGGCTCCTCAATTTTTTAAATTTTTTTAATGTTATATAAATGTTAAATTTTGTAGTTTACATATTTTTCAATATCAGCCTCTCTCAAAATTAAGTGAGAAAATTGCACACAGATTCAACAATTAATTACTCCCAAATCTATTAACAAATGAATGTAGTCATGTACTGTCATTTTCTTAAACATAGTTGTTAATAGACTTGACAGTAATTAATTATTTTGAGTGACATTTTAAAGCAAGTCTTCCTAATTAAACTTTGCTTCTGCCCCGATGCATAGATTCCTTTCAACAGTGTCAACTTTCCTATAAAATAACTATCCAAAGGTGAGTTTGAGTGTACACAATATCACTTAAAAACAAACTAATTGAATCCATTTCATTCTCTTAATTGATGAGTAATCTGTTTACTCTAGTTGGAAAGCATACAGGTGATCCAACAGACCCCCACAAATAATTTCATTTTGTTCAATTTTATATGTATAATGTATATAAATGATTCCAAATATTTAACATATTAGTTTCGATACCCCTATAAAATACTTAAATACATATACATGCATGTTATCCTCACGTTCTAAAATTTTTGGATTCACTAGATCGAACAGACGGGTGAAGTACGAAAATTACATAATAATTAATTAAGACTGACAAAACAGTAATCCAAAATCTTCTCACGACACCAACAATATGAATAAATGATGCCTGATGCTAAGGGACCGTTTGGAAAACCAACATTCTACATTCTAAAAGGACTTTTTAACTTTTAAGGTGTGAAATGGTGTTTGGGAAAATTTTTTTTGAACAAAAGCACTTTAAGAAAATACATTTGAAATGAGTTGAATGTGGATTTTTCAAAACTACATCCGATTGTTGTTTTAAACATGAATGTGAATCATCTAATTTTTTGTATTTATATTTGACCATGATACCCTCCATTATGGTCTTATGTCACTCATCCTTTTTGGCCGAGAGCTCACTCATCTCTCTCATCTCATCTATCTCTCCACTGTCTCTTATCCTCATCTCCTCCATCATCTAGTCATGGCAGGAACGATGATCAAAATTGGCTTTCTTTGAATTAGGTTCGTGGTTCAACGATGCAGAGCAAACCACCCGTTTTACATGTATCGGTTTTGCCTCCAAGGCAGAACAAAGAGTCCTCTTCTTTTAAAAGCATCTCTTTACAGCGTTGCATATAGCCTGAACGATGCATTTTAGCTCCTCTGCCATGTCGACAAAGATGCTGGGAAGAGAGGAACGAATCTCCAAGTAGTTGCAAGTCGGCCGAGCAATCTCGAACTGGGCGACAAAATCAATATCAAGGAAGTATGTGTTCTACCATGATGATGAATCAGATTGGACTATGTCAATGAAGTCGTAGTTACCGACGATGACCCCATTGAATGAATCCCACTTGGTCATGTGAGATGATCTCCCTTCATTTGCATTCTCTTGTTTTTCTTTTTCTTTCATTTTTCCATTCTCCACTCCCTTCTTCTGAAAAGTCAAAGATTTGATTTAAAATAAAAATAAATAAATTACCAAATTGGCCCTCCAATTTCTTGAAAACACAAAGTAACTAAAGCTAAATTAATCTAATTGAACCAACTAAAGTCTTAAAAATGAGAATAAAAATTATCCAAGTAATAAAAATGTGCCAAAAAATTGAAATTCCAAATTAACAATATTTAATTTCAATAAAATATGTCAAAATATAAATTATGATAAATCAATGTCCTTTTTTTATCACTGTATATTTAAAAGTACATTTCAAAAGCAAAATTTTTATTAATTTAAATAAATTTCAGTTTGTCAAATTAACTTTTAAAAAATATAATTAAATATAAATTTTTTTATAATAACTAATTTTTATTAAATAAATTTTTACAAAACCGACTGTTGATAGCATATTCTGACGAAATTTTATATCTGGTGACGGTTGCTCATGAGAACTCCGTGAAAATCAATACAAAAAAACCCATGGCCTTGTCATGGTGTCGTTGGGCCATAGGATAAAATGGGCCCGGCCTTATATGGTTGAAGGCCTTGAGTGAAGGCTGAACCCAAACGGGAAATGCAAATTACTGCTTCCGCTGCGGCCCGTCCCACTTGCCTCTCTTGACTCTCCGGCTTGCTATCTACTTCGCTTCTCCACTAGCGCTCTGAACTACCTCGTCTTGTCAATCATCCGAACCTCGCCTTTGAACTCCACCTTCACCAGCGCCGTCGGACAAGCATCGGGCTTCGACTCTTGCCTCCTCGTTTTTCTTCACCACGTCTGTTCTCTGTTGACCTCTTTGCTATCGCCGTCGACGCAGTTATCTCTTCCTCAAGGTCAGTTTTTGTTCTCTTCATCAATCCCCTCGACCCTTTCAATGAGGACGATTCTGAACCAGGCCAGGTCTAATTAATGATCCTTGCTTCTATATGAATTGCGAAAATTTTGTCTTTTGTTTATCCTCTGGGATTGTTGCGGGGGGGTGATGCTACAATTGTTTATCCTTGCCGATGGTCCACGTTTTGGTACTGTCTTGCTTATTTGATTTTCTTCGTCGATCTTCAGTTACTGGTTGTCAAGGTTTTCTCAAGCTGTGCCTACTGTGTGGTTGGAGCTGCCAGTCTCTTTCGTTCAACCTTAGTTTATAGCTATAGCTGCACGGAACAGTATCACGAATCTTTCTTGTAACCGTTCATTTCAACCGATTATTCTCGATTTACGTTTTACACAATGTTGGACGAGAGCAAGTTTGATGTGCATTTGAAATTGTGGGCGCTTCGAATACCTTGTCAACTGTGCAAGGTTGCCACTCGAATACTCAACGGGTACTCAATTCTCTGTTTATGGCTGAATGCTCTATCTGTCTTGTTAGTTCTGATTCAAGTTTCATTATTGTGCAGTTACTTGCTTGACAAGCCCCGAGTTAAACCTATCACGGAGGATCCAACATGCAAGAAAAATCGTTACCTTATTTTATCCGATACTGTTCAGAATCAAGGTATGCATTTCTGAACTCACACCTTAGCCTTTGAGAAATCCTTCCTTTATACGTTTTATTCTTATACATTCACAATATTATCTAGAATAATCGGGTAACATTTTATCAATACGATGCTTACGTCACTCATCATAATGCGTTTATATTTGCCAGTCAGTCTAGAGTAATACTTTCAGCTAACATTTTTATCTCACTAAATTGTCGTCACGGGTCAGATTTATCTGATATTCCAGAGCAGAAGCTTGATGAGCTAAAGGCGTTGTGTGAGATTGAAGTTGTGCCTTTTTCATTGACACTAGGGTATTCATACTGGACTGCTGGTGAGTGTGCTATTCCCCCAAAGCCTGCCGTGGAGGATGCATTTTAACCACTTCCCTTCACTTTCTTACAGGAAATGGGAAGAGGAAGCAACTTTAGATCTACCTAAATGCCTTGCCTAGTATATTAGTGTTTTGTTGAGTGGAGTGGGGTTCAATTTTCATTTAATTCTTGGGACTCAAGATTTTCTTAATTGATTGATAATAAATAAGTTGTGTTGTGGTCAATATTGTTTGGAAGTCTATAGGCAGCTGATAGCTCTTTTAAGTATTTGCTTTGAAGTTTTTTTTTCCTTGCACTGTTTGAACAACAAATGTAATTTCAATTCAGTAACCCCTTGTCTAGCATGGTAAAATTTGCTTGTAGTGTACGATGCTCTTTCGTTTCCAAAGACACAAGGGGATAAAAATTTAAAATGTTCAAATATGTATATACAGCTGCATGATTTTGTCCCGTGTTAGAATTATCATGTACTATCTATGGGCTATTAGCTAAATTGTTTGATTAGAGGTGTGTAATAATTCATGTTTCATGCAGTATTCTTACTCTCCCTTTGTTAATTTTTAAATTTTTCTGATAAGTTGCTGTTTTTGTAGATTATGTTCTGAAGCAGATACTGCCTCCCGGAGTGGAGGTGCCTTCATCGTTTGAAACAATAGTTAAGTATTCAATTCATATTGATATTTGATATAGCCTCTGGGTTATGCTCTTAAGCTTTATGTATAAACTTTTGTGTTTCTTTTTTCTTTTCTTCATTTGGTTACATGTATTTTTGTGATGAACCTAGCGCTTTTGCTTTATTAATTCTTTGATTTTTTCTTCTCTGGAGGGTGGTATGAGCTTACCAATTTTGTTTAAGTCTCTTTGGTCAGTCACTAATGGCCACCCAACATCTGTGCTAATTATGCAGGTCACATTGCTCACTTAAACTTACACGATGAATTACTTCCGTACAAGGATGTTATTGCTAAGGTTTTATATGATGTACGTTAGACTACTTCTGACTCTAGATGCAACTTGTTCAACATTTAGCTGGCTGTGTTGCCGTGAAATGCACCTGCTACTCCGTTGTTGCATATGGAGATGAGAACTTTCTCTTAAAAGATCTTTTTCCTTTCAAATGCTCTTATAATGGTCGTTATTACTCCTTTTTTTGTGTATATCAATGTAATGTTTGCAGAAATGTTGAAACTTTCAGCTTTTAAATCCCTGTTTTCTATTTTTTATCCTGGCCTCATTCTTTGGGTAAATTAGGTGTGAATATGTAGAGCTTGTTTGGTTTTTGTTTCTAAAAACTGTTTTGTAATACATTTTTTAAAATTGTTTCCAAAACAAAATAAAATAAAAATGCGTTTGGTTATGTTAATTTAAAAGCAGTTCTAGAATTAAAAAATAGACTAATAGCAATGGTTATAGACAGTTAATGGTGATGATTTATAATAGCAACTGATCAAAGTAACTGTAATTTTTAATAATCAAATGTTAGTGTATTTTAGAAATAAAAATAAAATGAAAAGAACTTGGAGTTGTTTCTATTTTTTTGTTTTTAAAATCAAAAAATGAAAACAGTTTTAAAAACAATTAAATAAAAAACACTTAGCCGAACAAGTTTTTAAACTTTTCTGTTTTTAAAAGCAAAAAACAGTTTTTAAAAATAGAAAACAAACAAGCCCATAATGTGTCTATTGATCGTGACTGTTTTTAGTAAGATACATTGGTCTTCAAAAATCTGTATGCTGGTCTTTTTGCTTCATACATAATGGATGGCCTGTTTGAACAAAGCTTACAAGTGTCTTTATGAAAAAATTTCTAGGGTCTTCACTTGACTAAATTTTCACTAGCACTTTTGGAGTCAAGAAATAATTATCTGAATGATCTGAATTTCTATATTAATGTTTACATTGATGCTGATGCAAAAATTAATCTAACTTAATATTTTTGATAGTCATCATGCATTTGTTTTATTATTTGTATTCTTTCTATTAATGTCTGTGTCGTAATAATTTGTACAGAAAAATTATCCAAGAATCAAAACTATTGTTAATAAAGTAGGGACCATCACAAATGAATTTCGTGTGCCCAAGTTTGAAATCTTAGCAGGAGAAAATGATATGATTACAGAAGTGAAGCAATATGGGGCCACTTTCAGGCTCGATTACAGTTTGGTCTATTGGAATTCAAGGCTGGAACATGAACACAGAAGGTTGGTTTCTCAGTTCCAAGCTGGGGAGACCATTTGTGATATGTTTGCTGGCATAGGTCCTTTTGCCATTCCTGCGGCACAGAAAGGATGCATAGTGTATGCAAATGACTTGAATCCAAATAGCGTTGACTATTTGAAGATTAATGCGAAGATCAACAAGGTTGATGATCGCATTCTTGCATACAATATGGATGCAAGAAACTTCATCTCCCAGTTGGTGGAAGTCCCAAAGACTGAGATTAGGATAGAATCTAATGTCCCAATGGCAAAGACCTGTGAAACTTGCAAGATGCATGACAATGCTGAATCAAATTTAGGAAATGAGAGGTTAAATGGTAATATCTTTGTAAGCCAATAACTGCAAAGTATCAATTAGTGTGAAATAAATGAGAACATGTTCTCTGATCCCAATATTTCCATTGCAGTTGAAACAAATGGCCTTGGAGATAGCACTAACACTAGTGTGGAGGATGTTCAAGGTTCAATGAGGCATGTTGCCACATCTGTAACTGCTGCTAAAAGATCTTCTGATAGTTTTCAAGGAGGTATTTTGGAGAATATAGTAAAACATCTGGTTGCTGCGGGGTGTAGAAATTACTTCGTCTTATTGTGCATAACGTTCTTCTGCAATTTTCAGCTCCAAATTTAGAGGCTCTTAAAACCATATTGTTTAACACTATTCCATCTTCCTGAAACAAGATTAAAGCATTGATACTGATATTCCATGTGATTGAAACTTGAACATAAAGCTAGCAATTATTTTCCTTATCACAGGTATCACTGAAGGTGGTAGTAGCCAAGGAAGCACAAACAAGAGAGTAAAAGGCTCTGATGTTTCTGACACCAAAACGTGGGAGCATATTGACCATGTGATAATGAATCTACCCGCATCTGCTATTCAGTTTCTAGGTAGGGGTGCCATCTGAACGTGATTTTTTTTTTTTTAACTCATTAAGCCCTTTTTACTTCTTAGGTTATACTTTTTGATGCATAACCAAAAAAAGAAAAGAAGCGAAAAAAACAGTCTAAAACAACTCCGATATTTAATTTGTCAATAGCAATAATAGAAAGGTAGAGTAAGGACTTTAACTGATTAATTGCCTATTTATAATGAAGAAATATGATTCTAGGCCTAATATGCGAAAAGAAATCCTAACCCCTATAATCATTATTCAGATCTCTAAATTGGACCCTAACTCCCTAATTAAAAGGTATGATTAGCAACACGAAACTGTAAAGTTTATCCGTGAGGCATTTGCATCACTTTTATTTTTCCGTCATCTTTTAGGAGCTCCCCTTTTGTTTGTTGTTCGGTGGTTCTATTAATTTTGATTTTTTTAAGGATTTAGTTTGATTCAGAATTTGATGTAACTTTTATAGTTTTTTATATTGACATTTGGTTAGAGTTATATATCCTTGATCTTTGTGATGAACCATTGTCTTTCTGGATGAGGTCTAACTCATTGTAAAAACCAGCCATCATAATCTAAGACTGATTTTTATCCACGTTCTTCTTGGCTGTTTTCTGTGTGATGTGTTCTGGATAATTAGATCCATCTCTTAGCAGCCTCTCTCTCTCTCTCTCTCTCAATAATTTTAGGCTAACATCTGACATCAGATTTATCCTGGCAGATGCATTTAGGGGATTAATCCAGAGGAGATATTGGCAGGGACATCTACCATGGGTCCATTGCTACTGTTTCATTCGGGCAACTGAAACTCCTGAATCTATACTAGCTGTGAGTTCATTTTGCTGCTTATGGCGCCCCCAGGTTTTTATCAGAAAAGAAAATTTGCAATATGAGAAGATAGAAGAAAAATAATAGTAATCTCATTGAGTTGTGGTTTTTTAAGATCTGCTAGTTAAGATAAATTTAGGCATTTTTCTCCTGTTAGATAGCTGGGCTTGGACAATTATAGTATCACATTTGTCTATCCCCTGTTTCACCAGTTTTTTTGTTTAGCATCGTCTGTAGTTCTGGAAGCATTTAAGAAAATGCCTTCCCATACGTTGAGTATTCTAGTAACTGAAGTCCTTTTTATTTGCTTGGACTGTTAAACTCTTCAGGAAGCAGAGTCTGCTATAAATGCTCAGATAAAAGACCCCAGATTTCATCGGGTCAGGGATGTGGCTCCAAACAAGGTGCTGATATTTCATTATCACCATTAAACTCGCTTGACTTGTGCAATTCCTTGATACTCCCTCCGTTCTATAGTATCCATTTTTTTAAAGCCCTGGTCCTTTTTCACAGTACCTTGTTCGAAATTCTAAGATGTTTTATAAGATATTTCCACATATACCCCTATTTAATGATTCTTTCCCCAACCCATGAAATGATTTTATCATCATAAAACATTTAATTAGCGGCAAATTTTAGAAAGAAGGAAAAAACATTGAGACACAACTAACTTTCTTGGTCTCTATCATTTTGGTATGTGCATTATATTTAGGGACAGAGAGAGGACATAGACTGTGTGTAATGATCCACTAACTGCGTCATTTTTCTTAATTATTCAGGCAATGTATTGTTTAAGCTTCAGGTTGCCAGAAGCATGCTGTGGGGAAGATGCTCACTAACATTTTGGTTAGCTTGCCAGTTTAATATCCTTTTCTTTTCAGGGTTCAACTGAGCCATGCTTGTGCATGTTGAATTCTTTTCCTTTCTTTCTTTCTTTCTTTCTTTCCTTTTTTTTTGTAAAAAGAACATCCTTTTCTTAGTTCATTTTTCTTGAGACAAGTTGTATTCTAGATTTCTAATACATTTTAACGATAGCGAATTACGTTAGCATCATGTTTTACATTTTTGAAAATAAATTGAAGTGAATACATGACTGCGATATTTTGAACTCTGGTCGTACTCTTATACATGTGGACGCATGCGCGTGCATGCATACCTATGCGTTTACTCTTTCCGTCTCTTTTTTATTGGACAATTTAATATACTTTTCACCAATTCTTATTCATCTTTTCACAAATGTCTTTAATTAAATACTATTCCCCCATATTCTTTCTTAATTAAAGCATCATTTTCAAAGGGTATTTTTTAAGAAAAAAAATTAGATTTTGTAAATTGTCTTTAGAGACACTAGGGGTTTCAGGCCATCCATCCACTAATTCTCTCAATTTTTTTTTTTTTTGGGAAAATGTCTATGATTTGATCCCCTGGATTAATTGAGAGATCCAAGTCCTGAGTTATAATAATTTATTTCAATTTCTTATATGTAATGGGCTTTCTTAGGGCTATGGGGACAAGGACAGGGGAAGGCTAAGCATTATACTCATACACGAAGGTACTTGTACATATTTTATTCCTGTATACGCGTGCAAAGGTAGGAATTTAGTATTTACTTTAATATTAATGTAGAGATTAGCGTATCATAGTATATCTTGTGGAGTGACCTGGATATGCCCTGTCATAGTAACTTAATTTCTTTTTTTTCAAAAAATATATTTATGGCTGCGTTTTAACTTCAAGTAAGAATCTAACAATAGGAATAGGAATGATCTTTGATCCAGACAGGAAAGTGGCAAGTATAGCTAGAAAAGTTGATAATATTTAGACTTCTATATGGTTTTCTTCCCAAGTCTCAAGTCTTGGCCAAAAATTCCGAAAACATGGAAATTATAAATCTCGCATATTTTCATAGCAATGGAAAGACCGACATATACTTTTGAAAACAATCATTTGTCAAATTAATCTCCTGAAAGAAATAATCTTTTAACATCTTTCTCTCATACTACTGAATCACAAGTGTCCATATTTGTACTGCCCCCCCTATGATGATGTTGACTATTATCATTGATCTCTGATGACGAAAAACAAAAGGAAGAGTTAAATTTAAAGTCAGGAAAAAGACAAAATATCACAAAAATCCAACAGATACAGTGGAGCACCGGTGCATTATACCTTGACTCTTGCATCAAACATTAACCGATTGTAGTAGGGTTAAGGCAAATTGCTAAAAAGGAGCAAAGGACCGAATGAGCCAAAAACACAGAAGAAAAGGTGTAGAAAAATCAAGATAAAGTGCAGATTTTTTTTTTGGGGGTGTGTAGACTTTGCATACTTTGTCAAATATTGAAGTCTGCAATTGGTTTTCTATGTTCTGCATTTTAATTTGCTTTTTCTGCAATTTTTCCTTTCTGTTTTTTAACTGGTCTTAAAGAGAGAATTCTTGATCTTTTTACTAATTAAATGTTTTGGCCATTTAATCCTTTTTAGCATGACATGTCGGTTACTACTAACCACCCACGGAGTCAAAAAAGAACATGCACTTTTGGTCCTTGGGATCATATTCTTATACTATAAAATGCGTTGCTTCCATAGAATTCTTGCATAGGACACGTTGGATTTAGGTCAGGTGGAGTAAATAAATATAAGTGTAGTTGAACTTATTTCATTTGTTCTTTGTGGCCAACATCTGATGACTGGTTTGTATTTGATCGCGAGAATTCGATGCGTTGCTTCCATCTAATAATTTAACGCCCAAACCTACACGGAAATAAATTATAATAAAACGAAGGTGACATTTGGAACCAAGCTTCTAGCTCTTCATTAATTTACAAGAGCATAACAAGTTTCATGTTCTTGCGTATATCCATTCTATTCTAATTATTATTACATATATATACCGAGAAATTAATAAATATTTATTATTTATAAATAGTCATGCAACAAGCTAAGTATTATTCTTCTAATTGCCAGCTTGAAAGTTTTCCTTGGGAATCATAGTATAAAGAAATGATCCTACTTTGAAATTCTACACACGAGGATGCTTCAGAAGCACAAGATCTTACATGAATTACTGACCAGTTATCTAGCTAGAGACCATTAGAGTAAACTTAAATCTAATGTCTCTCTCTCTCTCTCTCTCTATGTATGTGTGTGTGTGTGTGTGTGTGTGGTCTGCATATTTTTGGTCTTCAAAGATGTACATATGGTGTTACTTAACTAAATAGCAGCAAATTAATGTGTTAAAATAAAACAAAATTTCATGTTACCGTATAATTTGTCAATTTTAATATTCGCTTGCTTGCATTTAAACTCAAACTTTATGGATAGTGCTGGGGCGATATTATTAGTTTCGTTAATCTCTAATAATATTTACATTATTAATTAGTCTTTGATAAACTTAAGTGGTGTGCAAGGAAGTTAAACCTCAAAATTGTGACAGTATAAAAGAATCAAATTAAACGGGACTTTTGGGGGCCTGACTTCCCTTCACAACCAATGAGCAAAGGATATTCTATCTGGTGTGTCATAAAATAGTATAAAAGGACAACGTGGTCAAGTCCAATGAACAAAATAAAACAGAAGATGAAATTACTGTGAACATGCGCCAAAACGTGTCTCAGTTTGTTCTTTATCTAAAGCGATTAATTAATTAATACCGTTCTGCTCATTCATCTTAAATCCTATAAATTGGATCTATATAATATAAAATTAAAATCTTTGGTTATTGATTAAATTTGTTATAATTTTAAAAATAGAAAAATATTTTTCTAATAAATTCTACTTATAATTTATTTATTTTTTTGAAAAAAAAATATCTAAGCATGGTTCAACGGTTCCAGAAAGTTGAATCAATTTATTTTAAATATATGTTAGAATGCTAAAACATGCTGCATTAAATAAGTATGTAAAAACCATGTCATTTAGTCGGCAATAGAATTTTGATATCTAGTAATGCTGCATTCGAATATTATATATCTATCATGGTACGGAGTGCCAAATTCAGTTGCTTTGCAGCCAAAATCCACAAGTGATTATAAAACGTTAGATTCTAAAGGCTTCTTTTCCATGAGAATTCTGAATTGGTTTCAGGAATCAAATATTCCTCAGAACTATTCCCCAGAAACCCGCAGAGAAGAAACCTCATGAATCTCATGAGTTCTACTACTTCTATCTATATATAGAGACCTAATTCTATCGCTAAATCTACTCTACAGCTCTCTTCCCTCCAAAACGACGCAAACTCATTAAGCATTATGCATTATCGATCGGTGGCCCTGAACTTCCAAGGCAGGATGTTCAGGCCCCATCCTGCACCAAACCTGCTCAACAATGGTCGCTGCGACGTGTTCATAAATCACAGAAGCATCGACACCAAGAGAACTGTGGCTACTCTTCTCTACGACCATCTTCGCCGGCTAGGGTTTTGTCCTTTCTTGGACAACAAGACGATGAAGCCTGGAGATAAGCTCTTTCACAAGATCAATAACGCCATTTTTGAGTGCAAGGTTGGTGTCGCTGTCTTCTCTCCTCGCTATTGCGAGTCCTTCTTCTGCCTTCATGAGTTGGCTCTCATCTTGGAGCGCCAGAAGAAGCTGATCCCCATCTTCTGCGACATTAGGCCGTCGCAGTTGCGGGTTGCCAACAACGGCAAATGGACGGTGGAGCCGGAGGGGCTCCGGCGGTTCGAGTGGGCTCTAGAGGAGGCTAAGTACACTGTCGGCCTCACGTTCAACTCCTCCAGAGGGTAAGGTTAATTATTTAATGAAAGGATCATTAATTTGATCATACTTACAAAATAAAACTCACATCTTAATTAGCAAAGGAAAAAGAAAAAAGATTTTTTTTTTAAGTTTTCATGGATTTTTTTTGGTGTGGAAGTGCAGAAACTTCTCAGACATTGTTAGCAGCGCTTCTGATATTATCATCAGCACCCTCATGGAGCTAGAGGATGAAGAGAAGCTGCCAATGGTGGTTTGAATAGTAATGATAATATATGATTAACTTTATTTAATTATTACATATTTTCCCATCCTAGTGATTTTTGTGGATCTAAACGCCGTCTCGCCCAGATGTCACTGTTGCACACGACATGTTGTTTATAGTATTTTAGGTTTTTTTTTTTTAAAAAAAAATTGTAATGATGTTTGTGCTTCTAGCAGTATACATACTGTACATATTATCAAAGGTATGTAATGCTGTATCTGGTGGTTCTGGTTCCTCATTCACTCTTAATTTTATGGGCAATTTTCATTTCACTTCTCAATGCGTTTTGTTCTATTTTTTAAAAAAATTATTTTATAATATTTCTTTGGTGAACTTGTCTTATTATATAACTTGATGATACTAAGATGTACTTAATGAAATAATGGTTATATCATCTTGAATTAAACTTGGTATATTATCACTGTCAAGAATTAGGAGGAGCCAAACTGAAACATATTAAGAAGGAAAAAACATTGTAATGATACAAATGGGCTCCTTCTGGTCCTATCTATTTATGAGATAGATGGAAGATTTTTTGTTGTTGTCTCATTTCTAAGTTATTAAATTTTCATAACACATTTTCATTTTACATTCCATTAAATTATTGGTGGAAGAAAGATAGAGCTATAAAAGATGATTATTTTTCCTATAGAGTAACAGTTTGCAGAAACAAATATAAGATAATTATAGAACCATTCTGTATAGTTTAAAATATAGGACGATTGTAAACCAACTGATTTATATGAGGTTTCAGATTCAACCAAATCTAAAACCTTTGAGTCTATATAGGATGATTATAGTCATAACCGCACGTCTTTTAATATCTATGGGTGTCCATATAGGTTTTCTTTAGTTAAGGAAAAAGTTAAAAATTTATTAACATTTTATATAACGTTAATAAGTATTAAGATTTTTCTTAATTTTAATAAAACATGTTGAAAGTAATTTATAAATATGACAAGAGAAGTAATTTACTACTTATATGTGAATAGAATACTATTCTTATCCATAAATTTTACTTAGAATAATAAAATTGGATGGTGAATTCCTTGTAATTCTTCCAAACTTGAAATGCTGGAGAAATATAGCGGGGTTTCGTCTGCCGGCTTGAAATGTTGAAGAAATCAAAGTCAAACTCACAATGTCTTTGAGGAATGAACAGTCCAAGAAGGTTTTTCGAAATTGCAAACAAGGCCCCATTTCATTAATTATTTTATTTGATAAAGTATTTATTCATGTTTAGAAAGCTTTCGAAAATTTCATGCCAACTTCATTACTGTCCTTGTGATTCAAGAAATTGGTTAACATCTATGAAGGTGTGTACAGCTAAACTGAAATTAATTAATTAATTAAAATATCATCTCACCTTTACTCATGGAAAATGAAAATTCTATAACTGTCGTATTTGGTATATGAAAAAGTACTTTCTAAAAAAGGAATAAGAAATAATGTACCTATTGCATTTTTTTAGACACATTTTCTTAAAAAAGGGTACTTTCATGTACCAAAATGCATTAAAGATATTCAGTTTCCACCAACAAATATCACATTTTAATTGATCTGTTTTATTTATTTTAAAAAAACAGAGTTAGAAGAGTTAGAAGAGAGAAATGTTAAAGAGTATCAAATACGTTGCCTCCTGACTAAACCATTTTCTGAGCTTGAATTTGTGTGAAGGTTAAAAAAAAATTTTGAAAAAGCCTTCCGTCTTTATAAGTAAGAGGTTTTTTAGAATTTTTTTTACTCCTAAGTATAAAAAATTGTGAGTATGTTTTTAATGAATGAACCATTATATAAATTAAAAAAAAAGATAAGTACTCTCGTTAATTTATTTTAAAAAAAGAGATTCACTTTTTATTTACAATAATTAGAAGCAAAATTGAAATGTTTTGTGTTTTTAATTAGATAACTAATTTTTATTAATTTATGTGATTTGATTAAAAATATCTTATATATAAAAACGGAAGGAGTATCTCTTAAATTAGTCTAACAATACTCGAATTTTATTCAATTCAACATTATTGAATATCAAATAATCAAATATCAAGTAATTACTATTAAATCATGTAAAGAAATAATTATATTAAAAAATTTAAATGCATAAAACCCTCATAAATTTTGAGACAGTTGCATATAATTATTTCATTTTTAAATATTTAAAATTAACTTTCATAACCTTTAATTTTATTTTTTTAAAGCCCCTTACTATTAATTAACTCTGTTATGTTATTAATAAAGTTTTTCATGTCTGATTAATTTTTATTTTGTTAATGAAATACACATTACACATGATATAAAAAATGTTTTAATTAATTTTATAACACAGTTTAAGTAGGGCCAAAACTATAATTTTTACTTTTAACATACATGATGATGCTCTCTCTCTTTTTGTTGAAGGACTTTGTTGTCAATATTCACTGTTATAATTTAAGAGAAAAACTGTGAATTCATTATTTTTTATTAAAAACCCTTTTGTATTAAATAAATGAAAACAAAAATATCTAAAAATTATCATTGATAAGAATTATACAAATACAAATTTATCATTTAATACAAGAAAACTATGTGGATAATAAAAAAAAGGATAAAACTAATATAAAAGTACATATTTAAAAAATAATATAAATTTTATACATTTGCTATTTCCTATGACAGGTAAGTTTTTATATGACTCTTTTTAATCTGACATAAAATCTACTAACAACATAATAAAGTACTTAACTAGGGGCTTTGAAAAAATAAAATTAAAAGTTAAAAGAGTTAATTTTAAATGTTTAAAGATAAGGGGGGCATGCAATTTTCTCAAAATTAAGTAGGATTTTGTGCATTTTAACTTTAAGAGCACTGTTTACGGTGGCCGAGGTGATTGTAACGTGGTCAGTTGCGAAAACAAAAGACCTTGAAAAAGGCCACCTTTACAAAGCCTATTCTGGTAGGCCCATTTAACTTCTGACCCGACCCAAAAATTATCGCACCTCAAGTTCTACTCTTGTCAGCTCCCGCACTAATGCGCGCCCCACATGCTTAAAGAAAGGCATCGATAATTAAATATCCAACTAAAAGCGTATATCTGACTCTTTCTTTTATTAAATTAGTAAACGTTGAGCGCATAGATTCTTCATCGATGTGTGTTAATTATAACAATGTATATTTATATATCTGTATGGCGCCTCAAATAATCAGCACATTTTGACTCAGATCATTGGCTATGGAAAGATCTATTTATTTTATTTTTCATTTTGGAATGAAGCTGGAGTAAGATGCACATCAACACACACACAGATGCTTTTAATGAAAATGACTAATGAGATGATTCATAAAATGACAGTGGCTTGCGGTGAGTGAAATTGAGTAGACAGAAAGAGCATAATAATGAAAAAGAAATCAAAACTAGAGAACAAAACATGCGTATAGTGCAACAGAAGCGCTGATAGGAGAAATAAAAACAATAGAAGTGAAGATATCATATATATGGCTGAACAGAGGAAGGAATGTGCAAGTGATGAGATGGAGGAGAGGAAGGTGAAGAAGAAGAAGAAGAAAAAGCAAATCGGAGAAAAGAAGAGGCGATGGAGTGAGCCGTTTCAGCAACGAAAGTGAGTAAGTTAGGCCTGACAAACATACCCCACAATCCCAGCACCAGCATCGCTATGTCGGCCCCGAAGCTCATGTTTGATTGAGCTTTGATTGAGATATGTGTTGTTCAGTTCTTCTTCTTCCTCTGGGCTTACGGTTGACGACGACAGATTTGTGCTGATATGAGATGGGGAAGTAAATAAAAGACCTAACTAACAAATCACAGTGGTGCGTATCACCGAACAGTACAGAGACATAACAAAGGTCTCACGAGTCAGCGGCTAACTAACAGTCTTGGAGGATGCACTGTTACTCACCATTCACCAACTTCCCATCTCACTTTCTTCTTTATTTGATTCTTCCCCATCAAAGAGACCCCTCATCATTAATTATTTTTGTACGTTCTCTTATTAATTAACTATTCAGTACTCAATATTCTCAACAGATTCAGATTCAGACACCTCCTATTCCAATTAATAGAAGACTCTGTCTCTGTAAGTTTTTTTTTCCCCCCAAATCCATCCAACTTGAATTCAACACTTGGTCCAAGGAGTGTTTGCTACGCACACTCCATTTGTTTAGAATTATAACCAACTTTTAATTAATTTATATTTTAATAAATTAGTTCATTGATGACATTTTAAAATTACATTTTTTTTCTATATTTATCCTATTTAATAATAAGTCATTTCAATTAGAAAACTTTATAAATTATACCCCTAATTAAGAATATTTTTTAAAAAAATTGTATTAATTAAATATTAAAAGATCCAAAATATCTTATACTTTTAACATAACTTTTTTAAAAATATCTTATAACACCAAACAAGAATACTAACTATTGATTGCCCATTCAATTGAGTCATGAGCAATGACGGAGTTACATTATAGTAAGAGTGATGGAGTGCAAATGCAGCCCTCACTTTAGGGAGAAAAAAAAAATACAAAGTAGGTAAATTTTGCAACTTTTCACCCTCCATAATCTTGATATTTGGTACCTTTTGGAATAAATTAAAAATAGTTGGGTTCGAAAGTTTATTAGATATGTAATATTTTAATGATTGAGATAAGATATGAATAATATTACTTAAAAAACTATATCAACTTGATTAATATAATTTTTTTAAAAAAATAATGATCAATTACTTATATTACTATAATTTTTGGCTTATTGCAATTATTATTTTAAAAAATATTAATTTTCAAATTAAATTATCTTACATCCTAACTCCACCATTGGACTTATGGATTGGATATTGAGGCCTCTAAACTATAAGTCTAAAAAGGTCTCAAACCTTGAATTGATTTATATGTAATGTTCTTGTTCAATATTTTGAGACAGTATAATTTAACCCCTATCATTAATAAAAGTTAATTTTAATTATTAGTTGATAATAAAATAATTACAAAATGATATCAAAAATTATAAAAAAAGACTGATAATTTTTTTTCTTTTTTATAATTTGTTGGGTCATTGTCTATAATTTTTGAGTCTTTTTCTGTAAATTTTGAAATCTTTTTATATCATTAATTTTTTGATCAATTAACACTTAAAATTAACTTTTATTAATGATAAGAATTAGATTGCACCATTTTAAAAATTGAAAGAAAATATTATACCAAACATGAATTTAGAACGTGAGACAAGCCATAATTTAGATATTAATTTGTTATTTAACCCATTAAAATTTGTCCCAACTATAAGTATCCCCAAACCATTCAAACTCTCTCTATCAGGACAATTTTTTGGGCCCGGGGCCGGGGCCATTTAAAATGGAAAACAAATTCATAACTGCGCTCCTGATAACTTACTGTATAACTACAATTCCCTGGTGGGTCGAAAGCGTGGGCCATTGGAAGCAGAATTAAAATGGCCCAGTGGAAATTAAAGTTATAATGAATTTTTTATTCTTTTATTATTAAATTTTTCAGTTTTAATAAGACAAATTTATAATGCACAATAATAGTATAAAAATAATATCCAATTAAAAAAATTATAATTATTTTCAAATATCATAAGTTTGTCATTTCTTCACGAGAGTCAGCTGTATCAGGCCACCGCCAACCGCTAAACTTATCATATTCAAATTAAAGGACTTCGCAATGAGAATAAAAAGATTTACATGTAAATTTATTTTTTCTGCGCAAAACCATCAATTAGAAAGTATTTATCAGTACTTAAGAAAGTGATATGTGTGTCACACACACACAAAATCAAGAACAGGCATTAATAATAACAATAACAATAATGTAATTAGAGGCGACCAAAATAAAAGGGAAGGAATGAAGGAGTTGGGAAATAGGAAGTCACCCAACAAATAATATGCCATTTTGACAATGAACTCAAGATCTGTTCGGAACCGATATTCAATCCACCGGTAAGTAGTTGATTAGTTCTGCGAAATTCGATTTGAATTTCTGTTTCGATTACTCTGTCTTTGATTTGGTTTGTTGATCGTTGTCCATCGCTTTCTTTTCAAGTTTCTCGTGCTTTCCTGTGTGTCTGTATTTGGATCCAGAGAAAATAAAGAACGGGAAGGACAAACCATAACAATCACAATCTGTTGTATAGTTACAGGCTTGCACCTTGGTGCAGGTTTTTCTTTCCCCCTTAATTCACCTGAGGGATCATATCTTTCTTTCTTTAAAAAAAAAAAACAAAAGAAAATAGAAAATATCACTTCCTTTATCGTTTTGTTTTTTGGCCAGCACTTTCTTTATCGTTTTGATGTTCAATCCTTTTCTTGATACTATTTCAGCCAGAAAAACAGTACATGCAATGTTATGAAAAATTCCTTGGAAAATCAATCACTCTCTAGAACTTTCCTTCCTTTTTTTCATTAAAAATATTTTTTGGCTCATTGTAATAATCCCACCTAATTAACCATGCGACTTTTTTTCTTCATTGAATACACTAATTCAACCGCTTCTGTTTCAATTAAGAGTAACTTCTTTTATTGCATGCAGCAGGTATACTTCAATTGGAGACACGGTTGGGCACATCTTTTAGTAGAGACCTCAGTTGGATACATTAATAACACAAGAAAACTCATTCTGTTAGACTTGACTCTATCAATAGTTAAAGGTAAAATCTTATTTTAGTGACTCCTATACAATTTATTTTTAGCCATAGATAAAATCATGTTTCCTTTTTTATTTCCTAAAAATAAATTGGCTTTAAATTTCATCCCTCAAAAATATAACCAGGATCAATAATGTGAATATGAGGACTATTAACTTCAAAAACTAATTAAGAAGATAACTCTATTTAAAAAGGTGAAGAAAGTAGAAGAAGCTAAACTGTCCCAAAAAATTAATTTTTTATCATTTCTTTATTAATAAAAAAGTGAAATCAAGTATTGAACAAGTTCACATTGAACATAATTAAGAGAAGACTTCCTCTCATCATCCACCACTTTAACACAACAAGGTGGTTGTTGATTAAAAGTAGTTGAAACACTTAAGTGATCCTAAACAATATTAGCTAAAAAGTGAGTAGGGAAATTAGCCTCTCTAAACATAAAGCTAGTAATAACATGCCAATCTCTACACAAAAGCAAATTATTCTCTTCAATGAAATCTTTATAGGGAAGTTTATCACTATCGTGTTGATGAATGGGATTGAGAGTTTAATTTCTAACACCCTAATTCTTCAATATTGATGTTAATACCAATATCAAAATAAAATATCAAAGTTGTAGGAGCTACGTTATTTATAGGTCATAAATAATATTACTTTTATCATTTCCATTTACTTTTTACTTTTTAAATATTTTTTCACTAGCCTGTCATGTTTCTTACAATTTTATTTTTATTCTTTCAATATTTTTTTCATATCTTTAATAGTATTAAATATTAGAAAGATAGAGGGAGAATTTTATTATAGGACAATTGGTGGAACATTATATCAAATCAAGACCAAAAATTTTTGAAAACTCACTGTAAGACGAAAGGGCTTACTTGAAAATATGTTTTGAAGAGAAATGACCATAATGCCCTTTAAAGTTTTAACAAGTGCCATTAGTAAGGGAACTGTCAACAAGTTTCACTAATAAATTAACAAGTGGCATTAGTAAAATAATAAAATAATTTATGATTTTAAGAAGTCACTAGGATTGAATATATAGAGAGTGTTGCCAACAAGTTTCACTATTAAATTAATAAGTAACATTAGTGAATTAAAATAAAGTGAGGATTTTAACAAATCGTTGGGATAATATATGTAGATGAGATCATCAACAAGTTCGCTAGTGAATTAACAAATAATATTAAAAAAATAACAAGTAACATATTAATAATTAACAAAGGGCGTTATATAGTCATTTCCTTTCAAAATATTTTTTTCAATTTAGTCCCTTGGTCTTGCAGTGAATTTTCTCTTTGATCTTGATTTGATATAACATCCCATCAGTGGTCCTGTAATGAAATTCTCTCAAAGATATAAATTATATATTTTCTCTGGATCTAATATTTGAAAGTTTCCTGAAATATATATATATATATATATTTCAGGAAACTTTCAAAATATTAGATCCAGAGAAAAATATATAATTTATTTAAAACAAGTAATTCTTTATTTGGACAAAATTTAAAACAAGTACTAACTTGAAAGGATTTATTCTTTCTCCATCAATAGAAGATAAAGAGATTGTGTTAAGTTCACGAAGATTAGGTTTGTCACAAAGGGACACGGCTTTGAAAAAGTGATCCATATTCGCACATTAATTATTTGCTTGCACGCACTTACCACTTTTTAATGTAGTTTCCACTCAGCTTTTCGTATTAGATCACGCTTTTCTTATGTTTAATTATCAACTGATTAATTAACCAAGTTTGCTTTAACTTTTTTTTTTTGTTGTTTTGGCCACATCGTTCAATTTGACATAACACTACATAATTGAAGTATATATACTACAAAACTAAAGAAGCTGGATGAATCAGTTGAAAATGTTACCGAATAATGTGGCTTTCTGATGAGGTGGTAGCCATTAATTGTTTATCTAATTCTGTAAATAATACTTGTAGTTCGATTAAACTTGAAATTAATAATGGAATGGTTCAATTCGATTGTCTATTGACTAAACCAACTATTCATATACCATTTGAAGTGAACATCCTTATAAAATCATGCGAAGATGTAATGACAATTCACAGGAAAGCATGCTGATTAATTTCATATAAATAAAAATATCGTACATGAGTGAAAAAGCCATATGTTTAAAATTTCTTCTCTTTTCCTGTGTTTGAGCTTTCTTATTCTCTCTTTTTCTTATAATACGTTAAAAATGCTCTCTAAAAGTCACTTTTTTCTTTTTTTTATGAAATGTCGCCTATTAGTTTTTAACATATTATTATAATTTTACATTTTCTATCAAATTTTTAAAACACAATATCAACATCTTCCCATGATCAAACCCATTTGAAAAGGTCGATGTTATATTTTTTTTTTTGAGACATTAGTATTTTTACTGTATTAATTATATTGTAGGCTTAAAACGTGCTTATTTAACCATGTGTTTAACAGAAAAATCGCATGAAGAAGCACTGAAAGCGGAAGTATGAAACCTTTGTGTTCAACTTCTATATACAATTCTAAATATCTTGATCTGTAAAATATATGATTGTGCGATCAAATAAGGGGTTTTGAAAGGTATTTGTTACGTTGTTAGATAAAGCAAAATGGATCAAGAGATGGCAGACATTGAGACTCCAACAACTAACGGATCAGTTCCAGACATTTTACAGAAGAGGAATCGTTCTGTTACTCTCAAGGTAATCAAATAATTAAATGTCTTCAAGCTCATGTACCCTATTATATTCTAGCATTTTCCCGAAGATGATTAATTATTCTCACGTTGTTATATTCGTATCAGATACTTTGAATGTCACAGAAACATTCATGTCCTGTACTGTCTGCATAAATATCCGTTGATTTTAATTAATGTCCTTGTAGTTCGAAGATGTTGTGTATAAAATCAAGACCAAGAGACAGGGATTATCATTTTCGTCGAAGAAGGTAAAAGAAGAAGAGAAAATAATCCTCAAGGGAGTAACAGGCATGATTGAACCTGGTGAAGTTCTAGCCATGCTTGGTCCATCTGGGAGTGGCAAAACGACTCTATTAACAGCCTTGGGAGGCAGGCTCGGAGGTGGGAAGCTTCAAGGGACTATAACCTACAATGGTGAAAAGTTCTCAAACTCAATGAAGAGAAACACAGGCTTTGTCACTCAAGATGATGTTCTCTACCCTCACTTGACTGTCACAGAAACCCTAGTTTTCACTGCACTTCTCAGACTTCCCAATACTTTCACCAAACAAGACAAGATCTTGCAGGCTGAAAGCGTGATAACACAATTAGGTTTAACCAGTTGTAAAGACAAGCATAATAGGAGACACTTTATTGAGAGGGGTTTCTGGGGGTGAGAGGAAGAGGGTTAGCATTGGACAAGAAATGCTGGTAAACCCTAGCTTGCTGTTTTTAGATGAACCTACGTCCGGCCTCGATTCGACCAAAGCTCAGAGGATCGTGTCGTGTTTGTGGGAGCTAGCAAATAAGGGAAAAACTGTTGTCATGACCATACACCAACCTTCAAGTAGGCTGTATTACATGTTTCACAAGGTTGTGTTACTATCTGAAGGAAGCTCGGTGTACTTTGGCAAAGGATCTGAGGCCATGAAGTATTTTTCTAGCATTGGGTTTTCCCCGGCTGTTGCTATGAACCCTGCAGATTTCCTTTTAGATCTTGCAAATGGTAAGTGATTTGTTCTGCTACGTACACAAGTTTAAATTGTTATCTGGTTGAATTCTATATTGATCAGCCTTGATCGATCTTCAAAAGGAAAAAAATGTATTGTATGTTAGTCCTCTTATCAGGTAGGGAAAAAAAAATCCATTTCATCTTATGTGTGACTTCTTCAAGCCTTCAATAAATTCCGAAGACTAAAAGCTAAAACAGATCCATACCAGTCAATGAATGTGTGTGTGTGTGTTTGTGGAACCCTTTTAAGTCTTGTCGTTGGTCTTCTTATTATTTTTTTTTTACAGGAAGATGATATTTTATATTTATATTATGCAGTAGTGAATCGAATCTACTGATAAGTCTGATGTTGGGAAAAATTAAACATCTGAGATGAGTTCGACTAACGTCATATATCAATAGGCACCAAGTTACAGTCTCTGTTATAACTGTGCAATGTGCATGATGGAGATCGACATCAATGTAAATGTTCACCTAGCGTTATAAAACTTGGAAGCCAGATTGAAAACATGCATGTACAAATGTATGATTTTCCTGATCATTGCTACTGGCACTGGGACTTCTGATCTGCTACATGCATTTTTTAAATTCGAAAGCAAAACTTAAATATACTTGATCTTCGCCAGAGGACTCTAACTTGAAAGAGGGCTGAAAATATATGTTACAGGTGTCTACTCTGATGAATCAACAGAAGATCATGCTTTAGTCAAGTATAAATTGAAATCTGAATATACGAACAACATTGAGCCTCAATTGAAAGCAGTGCTTCACGAAACCGGTGGCTTTGATCGAAGCCAGCAAGACAGAGAATTTGGAAGATGGCCAACGTCATGGTGCCAGCAATTCTGTGTGTTGCTTAGGAGAGGAGTCAAAGAGAGGAGGCACCAATCCTTCTCTGGCCTAAGGATTTCTCAGATACTCATGGTTGCAATCATTTCAGGACTTTTATGGTACAAGTCTGATGTATCACACTTGCAGGATCAGGTAATGTACACACTCTTTTCTCACTTCAATTCCAAAGAAATATGAATCAGAAATTGGTGAATTGAATGATTATATTAACCAAAATCGATGACACTGTGTTCTTGTATTATTTGAAGGTAGGACTTCTATTCTTCGTTGTAGGCTTCTGGGGTTTCGTTCCTATGTTCCACGCCATCTTCACTTTCCCTCAAGAACGCATGATGCTTCAAAAAGAACGATCTTCAGGAACCTACAGACTCTCATCATACTTCATGTCAAGAATGGTCGGTGATCTTCCAATGGAACTTGTGCTTCCCACAATTTTCCTCATCATCACCTACTTGATGGCAGGCCTGAAACGCAAACTCTTAAGTTTCTTATACACTCTCCTTAGCCTCCTGTTCACAGTCCTAGTCGCACAAGGCCTAGGTCTAGCCCTAGGTGCTTTCCTCATGGATCAGAAAACAGCAACAACACTTGGTTCTGTGATGATGCTCAGCTTCATGCTGGCTGGTGGGTTCTACGTTCAAAATGTGCCCAAGTTTATAGCTTGGATCAAGTACGTGTCTATCAGCTATTACACTTTCAAGCTCTTTGTGGGGTCCCAGTATGGTAATAGGGACACGTACCCTTGTTCTGAAGGGCACTGTTTGGTGAAAGAGTTTCCTTCTATAAAGCAAATGGGGGTTGGTTTGAAAGGCCAGATTGTGGCTGCGTTGGCTTTAGGGATAATGCTGGTAGGTTATAGACTTTTGGCTTATTTTGCTCTTATGAGGATTGGGGTCACAAAAAAATTGGGTTAGAGACTTTCCCTTCGGATTCTGTTTCTGTGCATCATTCAACTAGATATATTTCCACCATCCCATTTGCATCCTCTATATAGATTCACGTGAGAAGACAAAATTGTACATTTTATGTGGCCACGCCATAGAAGCGATGCTCATCGTCACGATAAGATCTAGCTAGACCATGCAAATCCAATTTGAATATTATAAGTTTAAAATTTTTATTATCATTATTTTTATTATGTATCCATTAAAATAAAAAATTATTAAATATACAAAATTAATATCAAATCTATACTGTTTAAATTTGTATTGATCACAAAAGTGTCACCTTAGAGAATTTTGTCGTCAATCCAAGCTTGTTATGGGTAAAAGGTACATTAATTTAACTTGTTTTTGGCCCAGAACTCAAAATGGTGAGGTACAATTATATTTTGTGTGTGTGTGTGTGTGTGTTTCCATCCACAAGATTCAAACATTGACATCCTTTAAAAGAAATCCAGCATCTTCTATGCCACCCAACTGCTATTGACAATGGTAAAATTGCACTTACATAATATATAACTTAATCTATACCTTCAGTTGTTTTTTTTTTTTTCAATTAAAGAGATCTTTATATATTACCCTGTAATCAATAAGTCGAGATTTATATTTTTTAAAAAATAAAGTGACCAAATACAATCGAGATTAATGTTACCTTGTAATTTTTTAATTATTCATGCATGTATTAAAAAGTTTATATAAGATGAATCTTGGAGACTTGCCAGAATCAAAATATACTTTCAGACTCAATGAATTCTTGTAAACATGACTTTTAGTTGCGGTTTCTTTAATGGGCTAGACACCTGGTGGATTGAAGATTAAACGCCCATTATTAAGTGATAGAAAATTGTCAATGGCAAAGCATTAATTTCTTTATGATTTTTAAAGATGTAAATTTATTTTAAAACTTTTCCTTCAGGAGTGTCTAGTATTCTAAAATTTTTTTAAGAGCAATATTATCTTGAAACTCTTTAAAATAGTGCAATATTACCCTGCTATCAAAGTTGAACCGTTTTGTTTGATTAGACTTACCACATGGTGCCACGTGGCATTTTTTAAAAAATTAAAAAATAATAAATGTACAAATTTATCTAAGAACTTTTCCTGTTTTCAATTTTTTTTTAGCAATGTTGCTCCAAAACCCTTCAAAACGGTGCAATATTGTCCTACTATCAGAGTTGATAGTTTTGTTTGAGTTCAGTTGCCACGTGGTAACTATGTGGCATTTTTAAAAAAAAATGCAGATATAGGTAGCCTCCATGAAAGCATCCCTAACTCTCTAACTTCTTTAATTGTCCACATCGCTTACTGGTTTATGGTAACTGTTTCATTGTCCCCTCCCTCCTTATGTTTTAATTACATATCACTCTCCCTCCTTCACATTCAACCATTCATCTCATCTTTATTCCTCCCTGATAAATAGCAATTTTATATATTTTTATTCTTTTAATTTAGACTTTTAAATATTTATTTGAGGCTAATTGAGTTTAATTAGATATTATTTAATTTTATTAGTCAATATTTAGTTTTGAGATTTTAACTAACTAAATATTTGATTTTAAAATATAAATAATATCTTTAATATTTTTGCACAAGTGCTATTTTATTTTATTTTATTTGTGCAGATTTTTTAGATTCAATTTGGAAGATATTGATAAAGAATATTCTAGATAAGAAGAATATGGGCATGCTTGGAGATTAAATTAAGAATTAAATATTTAAAACTTTATTTTGTATTTATTTTGGATTTTTTAGTGTAGTTTTTAATTAGGGTTATTTAAAATAATTTTATTATTTTATTAAATTATTAGTAATTTTGCATTAGCTGCCGCACAGGAGACGCAAATGGAGATATATATAAATCATGACCTTTACGAGAAGAAGGAGGGCAAGCTGTGCAGCACTATGAATTAAGATAAGGAGGAGTAAGGCAATTACGCTTTCGCCAACTTTTTCTTCAATTTCTCCGGTGATGATGGCTTGTCAATTTCTCATCCTATGCTGTTTTGTTTCTAGTTTTATGGAGAGTTAAGTTTTTAGTATGATCAATCACCAACCATGATCCTAAATTTTAATCAGAGTTTTTGATATTCAAAAAAGATTTTATTTTAGCTTTATTCTATTTTTTTTTAATTCTCTCTACCTCTGAATTTTATGTTTTAGTTGCTATTGTTGATTAGAATAATTTTATTGCATAATTTTTGCGTTATAAATTTTATCTAAGATTTTACTTGTTATGATCGATTGATATAGTAACTTAAGAGTAATTTAGCTTGGCTTGAGTGATTACTCATACTTTGTTTTTTGTATGGTTAACATAAAATAGTTGTTAGGTTATAGGTTGAGAGAGATTTTCATTAATCTATAAATTAATTTCTTGTTTAATTATTGAATGATAATTTGAGAAGTATATAATAAAATCAGAATAATAAAGTTAAATAAAATTAATTTAATTTGTGGATGAGGAAGATTAAGGTTAGGTGATTGGGTTGTGTTTGATTGCGCTGCTTGTTCTTGATAATTTTTTCAGTTGAATTTCCTCTATTTATTTAATTCTAATTTAGTTTTAACTTCATAAAAAACCCCCCATTTTTTTTAGCTTTTCATAATCATAATTCAAATAATTACTCTATTAACTCTTAGGGATATGACCTAGGTTGCGCTTTACTGTAAAATTTAATTTTTATTAATTTTGATGCTATTCGATAGTAGTGTTACTCCTTCCTCCATCGTCATCTTTTGCAGGATAAGAGCTAAAATGAAAAGCCCTATAGCTATTGTCCACATGAGAAGCCATAGAAGTGAGTAGCCAATTATGCTCATGAGAAACTTAAGGCTAGTGAAGAGCTAGATCTTCCATAATATTTCCAATGTTTTTAGTTCACAAATTTGAAAACTATTGCTATTGGAATTGAAAGTTGAGTTGCTGTTGAAAGTGCCTAGTTTTGTGAGGATTCTTATTATCGATCTAACCATGTTTACTTCTCCCTACTTGACATTGGTCAATTTGAGTTGTTAATTTTTTGTTCTTGTTTTTTTGAATGTTTTGTATTGTTCTTGAATCATTGGGTTATTAAATTGTGTTTTTTACTTTCTTTCTCTCTAACCCCTGTCTTTGATTTTTTTTTTTATGTTGAAAATTCAAGTTTGATTTTTCATCTTAGTGTTCTAGGTTATTTTGCATTTTTAGCATTGTAGATGAAGAAGAAGTTAATAAGGATGAAACATTGCTCTTTTTATTTTTAAAAATGTCATGTCGCAAGTGAAGTCAAACAAAACTATAAACTCTAATGGCAAGACAATATTGCACCATTTTGAAGAGTTTCAAAGCAACATTTCTCCTAAAAAAAGTTGAGAATACCAGGCACTCCTAAAAAAAAAGTTTCAAAGTAAATGTACACTTTTATCATTTTTTGTAATTTTTTAAAAATGCCATGTGGCAAGTTTGATCAAATATAATGATTAACAAACAGTCAACTCTAATTGTAGGATAATATTACATCATTTTGGATAGTTGCAAAGCAACATTACTCTCAAAAAAAGTTCAAGATACCAGGCACCTTTAAAAAAAAAATTAGATAAATTTGCACCTTTACCCAAAAAATTTCTCTATGACTTTTTTATATAAATTTCTCAATGATTTAGTTTAAGTATAATATATAAATTTGGCCAGCTCAAAATGTGAAAATTCAAAATTTGTAAAAAGAATCAGGTTGGTTTTGGCGGGTTAAGTTCTTGTGTCCCTCGTTCTATTTACATGATAATTTTTTTAAGATAATTTGGTGTTTTAAAATACAAAATATTTTGATAAAGACAAGGCTTTATTAATTATATTTTTTCTTGACAAAAAAAATATACTTGTTCTTGTGACCAAAAAAGTTAATTATGCTTGTTTCAATATTATCCTTCCCTTCTTGTCATATTTTTCTTTATCTATTTAATATTTCATAAATAATGTTATGTTAAATTAATGGTATTTTTGAAATTTATTTTTTTAAAAAAAATAAGATTATAGAATGTATTTTATGAATTTTATTGGTGCACAAATTTTTTTAAAAAAGCATCTTATAATTTATAATGGATGAAGTATTTTTTTTATTTTAATTTTTTAAGTTTTTAATTAAACGATGACCCATGTAATGAGTCACTCCTATTTTTGTAATGTTCAAGTTATACTCTCTCCATTAAAAAATATAAGGCATTCTGTGAAGAGTTAAATATTCAAAAATATAAAATATTTTTAATCTTTCGAGATGTAATGATTGTCTTTTTTTTTAAACAGCCCTATTGATGAATGACTTTATATTTATTGTAGGGTATTTAATATAAATAAATATGAAAAGATAGGGTTAGTTTAAAAATAGGTAACTACTTTATTAGGAGTAAGATTCGATAAAAAAATGTTTATATTTTTAAATGGATAGAGTATATCTTTTTCCCATGCATTTGGTTGGGAAAATATAATACAAGGCCCTCCAGAAGGAAGATAATGACATTTTGAGTCCATGTAATTTTACAGTTTTTGTGCAGGCTTGTAGGATTATGCAGTGGTCCTCTATGATGTTCTCTCAAAATATTTTTTAAAAAAAAAAAGTATACAAATGTAAAAAAAATTCAAAAATTAAAAAAATTACATGGAATCCAAAACAGTTCGACCTTATTTACTGCTATGAAGTTGAATGTATTCACACTTAAAAAAGAAATAACTCTTTTAATCTTAAATTATAAGATATTTTTAAATAAAATCTCACATACTAATAAATCTATTAAATACACTTAATAATTTTTTTTTTTCAAAATAAAAGTATAAATTTTTAAAAATATTTTTCAAAACAAGTTTTTAAAACTGTTTTGAAAATATTTTTACAGTTTTTGCGCAGGCTTGTAGGATTATACGGTGGTCCTCTATGACGATCCCTCAAAAAAAAAAATTTTAAATAAGTATACAAATGTAAACAAAAAAAAAACTTTTTCAA